TAAATTCCAACAGGTGGGGTTAACAATTATAGGAGCATTTTGGACATGGGTTCAAACTCATCGATGAATAGAGTTAGGATTTTGGGTTGTGGCTGCTGAGAAAATCCTCTTAACCTAGGTTGCTAGTCACATAGAGCGGAGATGCATAATACCACTGATTTCTCTTGATTATTGACAAAGTTCTGCCCAGTAAGAACACAAGCATGGACTTGATTAGTCTCTCTTATAACTCACCTAGACACAAATAATGAAATGCATTTAGATTAGGTATCTAAATGCATATTGTATGTAATCAAGTCTCGCATTGATGAAAAAGCATTATACATATAATCCAAGTGGTCACTGTATGAAGTTGGACTCATCTTGTCTGTAGCAGAGAATACACGATGCATTTCATTCTGTTATTAGCACTTCAGTAGAACTAAAATCAAGGGGTTCCTTCGGCGATATTAGTTTTTTCTCTCGGATGCAAGATATCGAGTTTGATTCCTTTATATCTTTCATCCCTTCTACTATATTGTGTTGGACATGTGCTAATCATATCTGCAAAATGATTTGTCGCTCGTAGAATCAAGAGCTCTTGTATCCAATACCAGAGTAAGAGAAATAACCTATATGTCCTAGATTGACAAACTTGTTCTTGCAACTACAACATAAAATTGGAAACTACAACAACAACAACAACAACAACAACAACCCAGTATAATCCCACAAGTGGGGTCTGGGGAGGGTAATATGTACGCAGACCTTACCCCTACCCCGAAGGGTAGAGAGGCTGTTTCCAGGAGACCCTCGGCTCAAAAAGCAACAGAAGCCGCTATATTAGTACCATATANCTAGTCTCACTCTATTGTGCTGTAGAAATATTCACAACTCTCCCCTAACCTACAACCTTAATACTCGACCTCCATAATTCCCTGTAAAGGGTCAANTTCCGTCTTCGTCCTGCTCAACTTGAAACCTTTAGACTCAAGAGCATGTCTCCAAATCTCTAGCAACGAATCTAAAATACTTTCAAAAGTGAGTATACCTTTCAGGACCTCTTGAAGTTGGTCCAATTCTCTAAGTGAGACTTAAATAGATAAGCATTCCAGTAAAATCCTACAGTCACAACCCATTGTTTTCCTCCATATTCTTGCTATAATCATTGAAAGAAAATTACATCCAGCTAGGGGTGTCAAATGGGCCGGTTGATCTGATTTTGGGCGGGTCAAAATGGCCTGAGTCAATAAATGGAATGACTCACCCAAAAGTAACTTGGGCTGAGATGAGTTGGGTCAAGTTGGGCTAAAATTTGGGTCATAGCCCATTCCACTCAACTCTTACCAAGTTTTAATTAAATAAGACATTTTTTATTTTGTTATGGTCATATATAACATACCAAACAAAATAAATATTATTTTTAAAGATATTTTAGCAAAGTTACTCGTGGACCAATTTGGGTTAAAAATCATCTCAACTTTAGATGGGTTGAAATGAGTTGGGTCAAGATGGGTTGAGCTCAACCAATGGGCGGGTCAATGACCAGCCCGACCTTGGGGTGGATTGGGCAGGTCAAATGGGTCTGGGCTCAACTTGACACCCGTACATCCAGCCAAAACAGCCAACATGGAATAGTAATTAAAGATAAAAGTAGCTTTTCTTGGCCAAATTGGTAACTCAGCCACCAAAATTGCTAAATAACTAAAATTCAAACTCTATAGAGGCTGAATAAGCTAACTCACCAAACAGGACAAAAAACCACTCTAACTTCCCCAGCTGCTCCAGCCCCCCACTGCTGCCGCTAAATCGCAAATTGCCATGTTTTCTATATTTTGTATGAATATTTAGGTTGGCTTCCTACAAATTTATATAACGAAAGTCAGAGCTTAGACAATTTAATTGTAATCGAATTACCAGAAAAAAGTAAGTTGTTTCAGTCCTATCTGTGGTGGAATTGGTGGAAGAGCTCGAATCTTCTTTGACAACAAGTGAGCTACTTGGCATGGAGGCGTGAAGACAGGTCTTACACTTGTTTATATCAATTAAATTCCAGGCTTTCTTCCTATCAAATTGCTATCACTTTCAGCTTCTTAAAGGAGCTGTTGTCATTTGGCGTTTACATGTTTTTTCCTACCAGGGAGGTGACAGTTTTAATCCAGAAGATGCTTAAGTTTGGGGTAACGCTATAATTTTACAAACAAATTGACTACTCTAGAATTACTCCTTTGCCACTAACAAAAATATACTACTCCCTCGGGCCATTTGAATCTATACCCGTTTTTTGTGTCACGTTTTAACTTATGCCCACTTTATAAAAAATATTACAAGCGTACCCGTTTTTTCGCATAACTTCAGCATACGGGGCTAAAGTAGCAAAGACAATCACGCAAAACTTCAGCATTCTAGTAGCAGCTTTTATTTTGTAACTGTCGATTAGAGCTGAAGTTTTTGTTTGTAACTGGCGAAATTCAGCTCTAGAGCTGATGTTTTTGTTTGTAAGCTTCAGCTCTAGAGCTGAAGTTTTTGTTTTGTAACTGTTGAACTTCAGCTCTAGAGCTGAAATTTTTATTTGTAACTGACAAGTTTTTGTTTGCAAGCTTCAGCACTAGAGCTGAAGTTTTTGTTTTGTAACTGTCGAACTTCAACTCTAGAGCTGAAGTTTTTGTTTATAACTGGCGAACTTCAGCTCTAGAGCTGAAGTTTTATTTTTGTAGCTGGCGAGCTTCAGCTCTAGAGCTGAAGTTTTTGTTTTGTAACTGGGGAATCCCACTATCAAGATGTTCTAGTTTTTGATAACTCACCCAACTTTAGTTTACCGTTATTAGATTTTATGTAATCGGATCCATCGTTCAGTTCCATCTACTGTACTCTGTTAACTTTCATGTTTTAAATATATCAAGAGCTACGTTTCATAGCCAAAAAAAAAAACTCAAAAGAGAAAAGAAAAAGAAGAACAACTCCATGTGCATGGGAAAGAATGAATTTGAAACTTACTGTTAAAGGTTGGGTTCCTTGTGCAGAAACATTCACGGTATCAAGTAAATTTCCAGCAATGGATGACGGAGTTGTGTTTCTAGACAATGAGGAAACTGGTTTTTAATGTTATAATAATCCAAATGGAAGTCCTCAGTATATTTGCTTTAGCTTCATTAATCAAAGAGAGCAATGTTGGAGTCATCGTTGTAGAAGAAGAAAGAAGAAAATGAAGGAGGAGAAGGAGGAAGAGAAAGAGAGCTGAAGTTGTTTAAAAAGTCGGTACAAGTTAAAAATTTTAAAAAAAATGGGTATAGATTAAATGGGGGCGACCAAATAGAGCGCCCCGTGCAATTTTTACTATTCCCTCCAGGGGCGGCCATACACTTGCTTTAGGCCCAAAAATTTAAGGGCCCAAAATTACTATTTCTCTAGTATATTATTTATATAATTATTTCTTATTATTGATAAATTTATTTCTTTATTGTCATATTAAGTTTTAATAACTCAATTTCTTCCTCTAATTAATATAACCAAAATAGTTTTCTGTCAATTTATTTTACGTTTTTACTGAATTATATTTCTCAATTCATTAGTTAATCACGTAACTATCTCTAATAATATAATTTTATTTATTTTTCCCACATATATTATACTCTCTCAATATATATGAAAGTGTTTGACTGGATATGGTGTTTATAAAATAAAGGAAGATTTTTGAAACTTGTGATTTATAAAAAAAACTTAAAAACTTATGTGGCTAGAAATCATCTCATAAAGGGTAAAAAGGAAATTCTAAAGTTAAATTATTACCAAGTATAGAAAGGGGGCTGACTAAAAAAAAAAGGAGTCACATAAGTTGGAACAAAGGAAGTATATTTTCTGGGTTCTCTCATTTCAGTTGTGATGCAATCAACGCTAATTTCATTTAATTTTTTGTACTTTGTAAAACCAAGTTCTCATTTTTTTCATTTCACATACTCACTTATCTAATTTTCAAATAAATATAGCCTCTTATTAAGGCTTTGCTTTAGGCCTCGGATGATATTGAGCTGCCCCTGACTCCCTCCGTTTTAATTTAAGTGAACCTATTTCCTTCTTAGTTCATGCGTAAAAGAATGACCTCTTTCCTTATTTGGAAACAATTTGCCTTTATACAATAATTTATTGTCACACAAAATATATGCGCCTCATTTTATATCACAAGTTCAAAAGCCTTCTCTCTTTCCTTAAACTCCGTATCGAGTTAAATGAGTTCACATAAATTGAAGTTTTTCTCGTGTCCAATCTAAATAACAATCGCCACTTGAGTTTTCTTCCCCATTTTCTTTTTTTGCTTAATGATACATTTTACTTTTTAAATTTTGCATTGATTCTCTTATTTGATTTTTTTTTGGTGTGTGTCCTGTGTAACTAGTGTTTAATAACCATAGGACATTACGACATTCGGAAGCAGAATGCTTAATTTCGGAGGCGGATTCAAGATTTGAGCTATACGAGTTTAATATTTAAAGATTTTAATATTAAACTCATTATATTTGTATAAAGTATGAGTTCATAGTTACTATTTGTTGTAATTTTTATAAATCTTTACACATAAAATTTATGCTCCACATTAAAAGTATTAAATTTAAATGAACCGATAATATAACGCTGCATTCACAGCCTGAAAAAACCATATATACTTAAAGTAGTACTCTCTTTTTCTATGTCTTAATTTGACTAATCAAGAAATTAAGAACGTATAGAAAACTTTTGAATTTTATTGTCCTAAACTAAATACGTATATAATATACTAAAAATATTTACTGAATTTTATAATGTTAAACATGCAATGTCATTTCTGTAAAAAAAGTGTTATGAATAGTAGAATGAGAATGATTAAATATAAAAAGTGGTGATTTTTTTTTCCAAATAGATTTAAAAGGAACATAAGATGCATAAATTGAAATGGAGTGAGTAATTTCTTAAATAGGACTTTTATTTGGGATTTGATATTTCAATACTCACTTATTTTGGGGGAAAAAGTGTTATTTGCTCAAAAGCTTAGAAGCGACCCGAACCGGAGCTTCACAGTTATAAAAGCTCAGCTTTACCAGCTTCAAAGTTCAAACAACGTGAACTTGCAGAGCGAAGAGAAAATGGAGGGAAAGCGTTCGAACACGCAACCACTAACACTACTACGAAAAATCAAAGGTAATGATCAATGTGCTTCCATTAACCTCAAATTTTCCTGAAAATTCATTGCAAATTCTCGCGTTTCCACACATTGTTTCTCGACGAATCGTCTTCACGTTTCTGTCATATATACTTTGATATTGTTTTGCAGGATTTACTGGATCCATTGTCGAGGATCTCGCTCGAGGTAGAGCGCCGACAATCTACATCGATCGGTTCAAAAATTACTGTACTGACACTTCTGGAAATTGGTATATATTCTTCATTATTTCTGATTTAGCAATTTTTTTCTTGAATATATGAAATTAACAATTAAGTTAAGCTTAGCGAAGTGTTTTTTTAAGGCGACGTAGTTGAGAACAGTGAATATTTGCTGCTGTTTGAAAATTTTAGTCGACTTGGCATTTTAGAATTCTAACACGAAAAATTACACTGAATTGAACTTTGATCGGTATAGGAACGATCTAACTATTTATGCAGTTGATCCTGCGAATGCGAGTGGATAATGTGAAAAATTCTATAATTGTCTTTCTCAGAAGGAGAACAAGGATAGTCTATACTGGGAGTTTTTCACAAAGAAGCCATATCCATATTTTGAGACAGATAGTCTATACTGGGAGTTTTTCACAAAGAAGCCATATCCATATTTTGAGACACTTAGTGACCAGTGTTATTAAAAGCCACAGCTTCGTCGCGTAAAGCTATCAAACAATGCAAAGCAAGGGGTTATCGCTTCACGGGTGAAGCTATGCGCTTCATAGAAGTGTGAACTTCAATCAATGACATGCAAAGTGATCCCAGCAAGAAGCCATTGATTATTTGAAAGTCAAGTTTGAGGACTTGGATTAATATAATATTTGCCTTATTGTATATCAGTTACTGAAATTAGTTATTTCAGTTGCAATTTGATCATATAGAACTATATTTATTTATTTAAGGTATTTTTAATGTGAGGAATTAGGCGATTTGAAGTGTGAGCTTCACTTCATGCTTCTCGCTTCAAGACATTTTTCCTTTTTATTTTTTTGGATTGCTCGCTTTTAATAACACGTTTAGGTACTCTGTCTGGACAAGAGGGGTTGCTCTGATGGTAAGCAACCTCCACTTCCAACCGAGTGGTTGTTAGTTCGAGTCTCCCCAAGAGCAAGGTGGGAAGTTCTTGGAGGGAAGGATGCCAAGGGTCTATTTGGAAACAACCTCCCTACCCCAGGGTAGGGGTAAGGTCTGCGTACACACTACCCTCCCCAGACCCCACTAAGTGGGATTATACGGGGTTGTTGTTGTTGTTTAGGTACTCTGTCTATTTGATCTATGTGGCACTCTTTCTTATTTAGTATGTTCCAATATTAATGACATATTTTTGTAGTTGTAAATTATTTAGTTTTAAACTTTTTATTTTATCCTTAATGACATACTCTTACTGTTAGAGAAATATCATGGCATGCTTAAGACCTAAATTCTAAAAGTACTTTTGGGTATGCGCCAAAAATCTTTTTTTTTTCTATCTTAAACTTTGTGCCTACTAAAATACCGTTTACATAAAATGAAAAGGAGGAAGTAGTTGTTATGTTGACTGAAGTCCAAAAAACAAGGCAATTTACTGAAGTTGGAGATTGAATTGCCAATTAATAGCATCCAAGTGTTCTGATAGTAGTCTTTGTTAAATTTATGTAGCTCTTGCAGCTCCGATGGATCGACCGGCAGAGAAGCTATATCATTGAAGAGGGAATGCCATGCACGTAGGATTGGTGAGTCTAGGGAGACTAAATCGTACTCTCATATTTCATCTGACTAGTCATCATGAAATAGTTGGAAAAGAAATAATTGAATGAGAAAGGGGCAGGAATGATAATTGAATTTTTTTTATCCTCTTTGGGAAATGATAAATGACCAGGAGGAGCTGTTTTCCTCCTTTTGTTGATTTCTTTCCAAACTTCCGTTTATGGCCTGTCCCTTCCTTGATGTTAATAGGATGTGCAATGGCAGGTAGTCTGAGGTTTCTCGCTCAATTTTCTCTTCTGTTTGGTCGAACAAACTTGAAGGCCTTATTACCCTCCAATTTCCTTAACATCCTAGAGCTAAGCCGGGTTACTTACCTCTATATGGTTCTCATTGCAGATGTCTTGTTGAGAGTCCTTCTGATAATTCAGCAACTTCTGCAAGAAAGCAGGCATGGATCAAAGAGAGACATATATTACATGCACCCTACTGTTTTTAAAGGTAATCTGGATTGACTGATGATGTCTAAGTGACTAATGTTTCAAAAGACAAATCTGGACTGGTTCTTGGTGTTCAAGTGTAGTTACTGCCAATTAATTTCACAGACAATGGTGTGACATTATTTATTTGTAGAATTTATTTTGAAATATTCTTGTGAGGTTATTCGCGACAAGGTGGGTGTGGCCCCTATTGAGGACAAGATGCGAGAAGCGCGGCTTAGGTGGTTTGGTCATGTGAGGAGGAGGAGCACAAATGCTCCTGTGAGGAGGTGTGAGAGGTTGACAGTGGATGCCTACGGAGAGGTAGAGGTAGGCCAAAGAAGAGGTGGGAGAGGTGATTAGGCAAGACATGGCACAACTTCAGCTGACCGAGGACATGACCCTTGATAGGAAGGTATAGAGGTCGAGGATTAGGGTAGTAGAGTAGGTAGTCTAGAGTGTTCATAACAGTAGTATTGGCACGCAGTCTCGCTTTCTGTTGGTAGTAGGTTTTTATGACTAACCGTTGTTTTCTTTCATTGTTGATCACCTTACTATCTTGTTTTTATTTTGCTTTTTTATGACTTTTTGGTACTGTCCCTTCTGGTCTATATTTTCATTAATGTGGTGCTTATGCTTTCCTGAGCCGAGGGTCTATTGGAAACAACCTCTCTATCCTCACAAGGTAGGGGTAAGGTCTGCGTACACACTACCCTTCCCAGACCCCATAGTGTGGGATAATACTGAGTATGTTGTTGTTGTTGTCGTCATTGGTTACAAAGTTTTTCTTCCAAGGAAAATGCTCTTATGTACTATGGTAGTTCTGCTTTCTCAGTTGCTAATGTGCCATGGTTTAGATCTCTAGTTCAAACTATATAGAGTTAAAAGGCATCCTTATATGCTCATCATTCTCTTTTGCACTCTATAATGCAGAACCATCTGTTGTTGATCGGGCAATTAATGACATTTGCATCCTCTTGCAGTGCAGTCGGCATAACCTTAATGTGGTATATCAATTTACTTTCCTTTCTGTATCAAAACACACTCAATATCAATATATCTCCACATATATTTATGTAGACATATAGTATATATAGGTTTTTAGGTCGTCCACTGTTTTAAGTTGGGAAACTATCCATAGGGTGTGTTCACTGTCACTTCTGTTTGTTTTTATTTATATGCTCATTTTTCACTGTGGACGATTCAATGAGGGTTCAGAATTTTGATTAATAGTGGAAATGGTCGTTCTGATTTGCTTTTTTGAAACTTTTGACATGCGAAATGGTAGATCCTCAAGTACCTCAGCGACCACGCAAGCACATAACATTTCTTTCTCTGGGAGGAAAATTTATTTGATTTTTCTATCACATGACCTGGGGAGTGGGGGAGGGGTTCAATAATGTAGTTGATTAGAAGGATGTGGCTACTGTTTGTCGTGAAGAGCTCGAATATTGACTTCAGAGAATGATGGATATGGCTTGACTAGGGTAAACCCAATATTCAAATGATTAGTCTTTTTCTCCTTGTATCGCTAATTCGTGTACGAAACTTGACCATATACTCTTTTGATCCTTGCCTTTTGCAGGTATCTGTTGGAAACGGGTGCGTACCTCTATACAGTTAATCTTGCCATGAAGCAGCGTGCTTCCAGACACGTACAGTTGGGGTTCATTATATGCAATGCTCTTTTTTCATACTCGACATATCACGTTTGCAATCTAATATATCAAATGTTTCTTCTTCAGTTGATTATGCTTATAGCTCCTGCATTTGTTTGACTGCCGCCTCATATGTGTCTAAATTCCTCTTCGAGGAGAAAAATTATTTCATGATTGAGATATTTAGTATAGTCTATCATGTTACGATAAGCTTTTGTACTATAGCAAGGTAAAATATAATCATCGTGGAGAAAGCATCTCAAGGAGTATTATTGCTTCATCATTTTTGGCCTACTTGTGAAGATTGTAGTAGCATGTTTAGATCTAGTTTCAACTGTTCGCCAGTGAAGTTCTCGATAAATCTACTGCTGTTGCATTTTGCTTGAGACTAAATTTTGTGTTCCTTAAGACTGATATATGGTTGGTTTTCTTCTTTGTTTATATCTTAATAGTTCCTTGCAATTTTTGGTCATAAAGTTCTTTATTCCAACTATTTTTGGTCAGATTGGTGATGGGCTGGCTGCGGTATGTGGAATCTGGGAGGAAAATTGACTGCATTAGCAATCCTAACACTGTAAGAATGATAATTAGAAGTTAGATGGGTTTCTGTAGTTATGTAACAATCTAATTATGATGCTTCCTGCAGGCATACCCGATTCCAGTCCATGTGGAAGAGGTTGATGGTATCCTTACAAGTATAAGTGTTTGAATTATGAATGCAACATGGTTAAATATGATCTACGAGTTTGTGGACTCCATACATGCGCAAGTCCAGTTATGGGTAAACGTAAAGTTGAATGGATGTTTGTTATTGAGTATCTCCTGTTATTTTACTTTGTGGATTGCTTGCTCAGACTATGGCTGTGGATTGTTACTCCCTTAATGCTTGAACAAGATATTATTAGTGTTGCTCAATACGTTTTAGTTGTGGAAAAGGAATCAGGTATAACTTTTCATAAGCGGGTCAAGGATATAACAGAGTCATGAAAGGTATTCCTAGCTCATAAATGAGGCAACTATTTGCTGTTCATCATGCAGTATTCCATCGACTAGCAAATGATCAGTTTGGCAAGAGGAACCGTTGCATTGTGATAACAGTATGCGTCTTTTGTTTTGTGAATTTCTACGCATATTTGGATCCATAATCTCTTTTTTTTCACCAGGGAAGGGGTTATCCTGATGTTCCTACAAGGAGGTTAGACCCATGTTGCTCACTTTGTCAGACTTGTTGCAGTTGTTATCCTACTTCAATTAACCATATTTCTGCCTTTTCATGTCTCTTGCCTGTGGTAGGTTTCTGCGTCTCCTTGTTGACAAGCTGCATTTGCCTGTGTATTGCCTGGTAGATTGTGATCCATATGGGTTTGACATCTTAACTACATACAAATTCGGTTCTTTGGTGAGGATTATTCATTGTGCTGTTATTATGATGTGAACAAGTTGCTATATTTTCCTCCTTTTCACTTTTATACTGCTGCACTTTCATTTTGTTAATTAGTCCAAATTTTCACTTTTCTAAAAGAAAAATCTGGTACATTCTTCATTGTTTCCTTTCAGTGTTCTCCTATCAGAGGCTATCAAGCATTCATTCTTACCTTGATAACTTATACCTAATCTATGCAAGACACCTAATTTGAAGTGGATAGAGTATTTAGATAAGATGGATTATTAGAAGGATGTTTACTTTGGTAACTTCTGTCTTTTCTATGCTTTTTGAAGCAAATGGCTTATGATGCAAAGTTTTTACGAGTCTGTGAGATACAATGGCTTGGAGTATTTATCCAGGACTGCGACAATTATAGCATTCCACAGCAATGTCTCCTGCCTTTGACTGCAGAAGGTAAAATTCACGCATTTATGGTTTCGTTTCACTGTACCTTTTTTTAAAGCAATTTACAAATGACTGACATAAAATCTTGCCAGATAAGAGGAAAGTTGAAGCGATGTTACTTAGGTGTTATTTGCAAAGAGAAGTACCAAAATGGAGGTAGAATTTCATACTAAGTAATGTTAATGCCAACACTTATGGTCGGGTGCTGAAAATACTCTACCTCCCTCCTCCACTTTTACCCTCATACTGAAGGTTTGAACTGGAGCTGCTGTTGCACAAAGGAGTTAAGTTTGAGATTGAAGCATTGTCTGTGCATTCACTCACTTTCTTGTCCCACGAGTATCTACCGTCAAAGATCCAAAGTGGAGGGTATATCTGAATCTTTTCTATTTTTGTTCGGTTCTTTGGCATGAAAAGTTCAGAGTAATTTTCATGTGCTTGAGTAAATCACTTGAAAGAACAAAGCTTTACGGTTGCCAAATTTCATCATGTCCGTTCGTTTTGACAACTAAGTTTTTTCATGATGTGGTTCTGGATATAGAGCTACGAATGTGCATTGATGTTAAGCAGTTGGATAGAGAATGAAATTTGTCACTGTTTGTCATCCACAAAAACTTTGGCATTATTTGGAGAACCCAAGCCTTAGTGTATAAATTTTAAATGAAGTTAAAAATAGTCGCTTTAGCTTGTTATGACAGTACATGTTGATCCCTGCTTTGCACGGGAAAGTAAAATTTATGAGTAAGTGTAGACATAAACATGGACAATAAGGAATAGAAATTATGAGAGTGTAAAGATACCTACATAGAGAGCAAGGGATTTTTTTTATTTTTATTTTTAGAAATGATTAAAATGATATACATTGACAATGCAAAGAGTTTTTTCATGAATTTTCATCTATGATAGCATGTTAGTAGCTATTTATACCAATTTGCATAATTACTCCTTTATAAGTGATCTGGTTGTGTATTTTTTTTTTATTTTTATTTTTACATAGCTAATGTATTGAATTTAAGCCCAGAAAGTTTTTGAGTTATCCACGCCGAAAACCAAACACCCAGTAGGTCGAGATTGAGCAATGATTAAATTTCTTCTTCATGCAAAAAGAAAAGGTTAAACTGTTGTCTCACAGAAACCAATACATATTCAACCTATACGATTGAATTGCTAAAAGTTATTTATTTTTCAGAATCTAAAATTACATATCATTTTGAAAAACAATTGTTTGTCTTTGATCTGATTTTTATAAAACTTGTTTGAGGGTTGATTTGCGCTAGTCACATAACATAAGTTGATTCAACTTATGGAAAGAATTAAGTTTGGGTTGCAACTATTTATCCCCTGTTCTAATAGCGACGTTCACTAAGAACCTATTTGGAAAGTTATCTAGGAGCATGTTTGGAAAGCCACTTAAGAATTAGATTTGAGTGTAATTGGATATAATTATACAGTTTGGCATGTTTGTTTGGACAAATAATTGCTTGGTCAACATGGAATTAGGTGTAATTGGATGGGTGTAATTACACTCTCCAATTCTCAAGGGGATGTGAGAATTGGTGGTAATAACACTGTGTAATTACAAAGTTGCTTTTTAGTTTCTTTTTTTTTAAATTTATTTTCTTCATAATTTTTATTTCTATTATTTTCTTTTTTAACTTTATTTTCACTTTTTTTTTGAAATTTTAAAACTATTTTTCTTTGTACATTATTTATCTTTTATTTCTCTACCTTTACTTCTTGTGATTCCATGTAATTGCTTATATTTTATTTTATTTTATTTTATTATTTTATTTTTTGAAACTACACCTCCTAATATTAAAAATAATGAGTCATTAACAAACTTAACATATAATGAGTGATGCAATTAAAGTGAAATTTCGTTGTTAAATATGGTTATAAACTTATTACATTTCCTAATCTTAAGTTGTAGTGAAACTTACTATTATTATGTTGGAATTTGACATATGCTAAAATATTTTTGGATTTTGAAATTGTGTTATATTCATGGTTCCAATTTACTTGTTTTAGTAGTATTGACTCACATTGCATGTTGTTCATTTTTTTGTTAGAATTGATAGATTAATTTTGTCAAATATTTGAATAATGTTATGACATTTTATTTATAATTATTAATTTATTTTATCAAACATGAATTCCATGATGTTCTTACAAAACGTATGTTTTTAGTTTTTGTAAGCATCTATACTAAATATTACTAATTTAAAAAATATATAAAAATTATTTTTACAATATTAGTTATAATATATGATTTCTAATTAATGTATATTCACAAAAAATATATATCTTAAATACCAAATATAATATCATTTATAATTATAAAAATTTATAGGCATATATTTATTATATTAACTTTTAAGTTTTGATAATTACTTCATTTAAAATTTAATCTAACTGTGTAATTACACTTGTGCAATCAAACAGTAAACTTGTAATTACACTATGACAAACAAACAAGTCGTTGTAATTACACAAACTGTGTAACTACTAGGCTGTGTAATTACTACCTTGTAATTACACCAATTTTAATTACCTGATGGCTTTCCAAACAGACCCTAGGAATTGAATTTGAGTGTAATTACACAGTTTGACATGTTTGTCTAACCAAGTAATTACTTGATCAGTATAGAGCTGGGTGTAATTGAAGAGGTGTAATTACACTCTCCAATAGGTAAGAATTGGTGGTAATTACACTGTGGAATTATTACAAGGTTACTTTTTTTAATTTCTTTCCTTTTTGTTTTTATTTTAATTTATTTTCTTTATAACTTTTTAATTCCATTATTTTAATTTCTTTTCTTTATAACTTTTTAATTCCATTATTTTAATTTCTTTTATTTTAATTTTTTTCATTTTAGTTTTTCTCCTTTTTGTTTTTTACTTTAATTTATTTTCTTTATAGCTTTTTATTTCTATTATTTTAATTTCTTTTCTTTATAACTTTTTATTTCTATTATTTTAATTTCTTTTTGTTTTAAATAACTTTTTAATTTTTTTCCTTTTTGTTTTTATTTTTCTTTATTACTTTTTATTTCTATTATTTTATTTCTTTTTCTTTTTATTCTTTACTTTTTAATTTCTTTTTAATTTTAAAATATATTTTCTTTTTACGTTGTTGTCTTTTATTTCTCTACCTTTACTTCTTGTGATTTCATGTAATTACTCGTATATTTTATTTTTTTATTTAGCGTAACTGCGTTAATATTCTAGTTTTTGAAACTACACCTCCTAATATTAGAAATAATGAGTCATTAACAAACTTGACATATAATGAGTGGTGCCATTAAAGTAGAATTTCGTAGTTTAATGAGGTTATAAACTTATTATATTTCCTAATCTTAAGTTGTATTGGAACTTATTTTTATTATATTGGAATTTAACATATGTTAAACTATTTTATTTTATTTTTTTGGATTTTGAAATTGTGTTATATTTATGATTTCAATTTGCTTGTTTTAGTAGTTGTAGGCATATAAATTTTACATAAATTAAATCCAAAAAATAATTTGGACTATATTTTAATTTCGAGATATATTGGTCCAAATAAATATGATGGGCTAATATGATTGAATTAATTATATAAGTCCAATATTTATGGATTAAATAAATAAGTCTTAATCTATTGGGCTAGCCCATTTAATTGGGCTAAAGTGATGAGCCCACTTCATTAAGCCCAAATGACATCTCCCTAGAGGTCCAGTTTGGTGCCACGTGTCAAATGACGTGGCACGCTAAGTCAAACGGAAGAACCAATAGGATCATGCCACATGTCAAAATGACAAGGCATGCCAAGTCACATTAAAAGGCCAATGAAATTGCACCACATGTGCAAGTTACATGTTCTGACCAATCAAATGCGGCCATGTCGCACTTCAATTTGATTGCTCGGAAAGAGTTAGTTCTTATCATAACTCTTCCCTTCCACAACTATAAATAGGGGTCTTCATAACTCAGAAAAGACACCAGAAGTTATAATAAGAAGCAAGAAAGAGCTCGCGGATCAAACGCTGCAAATTCCTCCACAAGTTTTAAGCTTCAAGTTCAAGAAATCAAGTTCAAGCTCGAGAACGAAGAAGAAATCAAGTTCAAGTTCAAGAACGAAGAACAAATCAAGTTCAAGTTCAAGCAATCAAGCTCAAGCTCAAGAACAAGATCATCGTTCGAAGCAACAAATACATATTCAAGATCAAGCTCAAAGGCCATTGAGTTTATTTGCTATTGAAAAGAAGAATCCGAGGATTCATAGAGATTGTAAAACTCAAATATTTAAAATAAAATACTACGATTGTTGCGATATTTTTCGGTCTTGATTTTATTTTCTCGACGTAGTTTATTGTCTACAAATTCTGGCACACCCAGTGGGGCAATCTCTACCTCTCATCTTAACTTTTCAATCACCAAAGTCCAAGAACATTGAAATGGCTTCAAAGAAAATCAACTCCGGTTCAACTTCCACCAAGGCTGCTAACTCTAGGTTCTATACTGATGTGGAAAGCATCCTCAATGTTACCTTTGAAAGCTTCGGACCAGTCACGAGGAGCAAAGCAAGTTCTTTAGGACAACAAGCAACCCAAGTGCCGTCCACAACAACCCCTGTTTTCGGATCTTCGTCCCCAAAAAGAGGAAGATCTTCCACAAACGCATCTGAAGGAGGAAGCGATGTTGCTGAAAAGATCAAGAAAACTCTTGCTCTGCTTGACCTCTCCGGATCCAAGCACTCTGTTGTGAAGGAAGATGATGATGCTTCAAGTGATGGATCTTCCCCACTTACACCACATAGCGTGAGCCAATCAAGGATCAATCTGTGTGAAAATCCATGCCACTCTTTGTCGTCCACGACGATCATGCAAGCCATGGTGACAAACACTTCATCTATGAAAGAGCAGTTGACAAACTTGACGGAAGCAATTGCTGGCTTGACCAAATGCATGCAAAATCAAGAGGCTAGAATTGACAAGCTAACAGATAGGGTGGGAATCTTGATGGAAGAAGAATCCACCCATGCACCCGGTAAGCTCCCAGAGGTCCTAGAGAGTGACTCTCCCCCAAGACAAACAACATCTACTAAGGCTATCCTTGTCTCATATGAAGGGATGATTCTAATCGATCAATTGAAGGAGTTCATTGAAGGAACCATTAAGAACAAATATGAAGTTGCTGCCAAATCCTCCCTTACATATGCAAAGCCGTACATTGCAAGGGTCGATATGTTGAAGATGCATGTTGGCTATCAACCTCCGAAGTTTCAACAGTTTGATGGTAAAGGTAACCCAAAGCAATATGTTTCGCACTTCGTGGAGACGTGCAACAATGCTGGGACTTATGGAGATTACCTCATCAAGCAGTTTGTCCGCTCGCTAAAAGGAAATGCTTTTGACTGGTACATGGACCTCGAGGCTGGATCTATCGATAGCTGGGATCAACTAGAGCAAGAGTTCCTCAATCACTTTTATAGTACGAGACGTACTGTGAGTATGATAGAACTTACAAATACTCGTCAAAGAAAGGGGGAAACAATTATCGACTTTATCAATCGTTGGAGGAATGCAAGCCTCAACTGCAAAGACAGGCTTAGTGAAGCTTCATGCATAGAGATGTGCATCTAAGGCATGCATTGGGGATTGCGCTACATCTTGCAAGGTATCAAGCC